CCCGCCCTCCCTCAGGTCTCAGGCTTCACCGTGCTGGGGCACCGAGGCTCGGCTTCTCGCAGTGAAACCGCATCCCTAAGCCCTACAAGGGTACCTGAGGGAAAAGCCACCTCGGCCTGGTCCCTGAAGCCTTGTGAAGCGACTTTTTCCACTGGGCTGGCTTCGAGGTTGGCAGGGTGCCACTGCTGCACCTCAGAGGGACATGGCGGCCCCGGGCAGGAGAAGGGCTTTGAGGCCCCCAAGGCGGCAATGGGGTCGCAGGGATGGCGTGACTGGGGGAGAGGCCTGGGCCGCAGACCCTGTGCGAGGGGTGCCGAGTTGTCGGGGTGCCGGGGGCTCTGGCTCTGCGTGGCCGAAGGCTGGGGTGTGTGTGCAGGCTCCTAAAACCACCTGGCTATGCAGGGGAGCTTGCATGGCAGAGAGTCGGCAGCCACGGCCAAAGTTTCCTGCTCAAGTTTCTGACAGCGCTCAGCAGCTGGAAGTGCTGCCCGAATGCTTCGGTGAGGCGGGAGGGAAATAGCTCTTGCAACAACTCTAATTAATACATGCTCTGCTGCAGAAAAACATTGGGTTTTTTCCTTTCCTGATACTAAAAACTGGTTCGAGCTGCATGGCATTTCTTATAAAGAAATTACCGGTGTTAGCAAGAGTTTTAGTGCCCTGAGTTTGCCCAGCTTAAAACTGCCAGTACTAGAGCATTAGTTGGATTTAGGGCGCTGGCTGCTGCATTTACATACTTGGTTGATTTGGTGTTTAAATAATACACATATTTATGTGTTCAACTGTCTTGCTAGCCTCTCAGTAGTAGAGCTTGATTTAAGTGATTATAATGTACAACCGATGTACAACTTATATTTAACTGAGTTTAATATAAAATGACATCATTCAACATGAAGTCTTATGAGGAGTGCTTGAGGGAACTGGGACTGTTTAGTCTGGAGAAGAAGAGGCTCAGGGGAGACCTTGCCGCTCTCTATAACTACCTGAAAGGAGGTTGTAGCGAGGTGGGGGTTGGTCTCTTCTGCCAAGTAACTAGTGATAGGACGAGAGGAAATGGCCTCAAGTTGCGCCAAGGGAGGTTTAGACTGGACATTAGGAAAAACTTCTTTACTGAAAGAGTGGTCAAGCCTTGGAACAGGCTGCCCAGGGAAGTGGTAGAGTCGTCATCCCTGGAGGTTTTTAAAAGACATGTAGATGTGGCGCTTAGGGACATCGTTTAGTGGGCATGGTGGTGTTGGGTTGACGGTTGGACTTGATGATCTTAGAGGTCTTTTCCAACCTTAATGATTGTATGATTCTATGATTTCAAGGTCTCACTAGCACCTGACACCAATCTGACTCCTCCTTCCTCAAATAATGTTTTCAACTTTACAGTTGGCGACAAGCATTTGTTTCTCAGTCGAGTCTGCAAGGTGCTTTTAGCTGCTACAGTAGACCTTTGTTAAAGGAAATATTGGTGAAGCTACAATACAAGAGTTTAAATGTCTAGTGACTAAACAGAGGTGCAGTAGGACCTCTGGTCCCAGGATACTCCAAGTTAAGTTCAGAGGAAACCTGAATCCAAACCTGTCATCCCCATCAAACCAGAACCTGCAGGCTTTTCCTGGCATTTCCCAGAACATACACGTCGCCCACTGTTTGGGCTAAGCTCTCTTCATTTTCCAGCAACTCTTGGGAATGCCAGAAAGACAGAACCAGGGAGCCCTTAGGTGTATAAGTAGCAGCAAGAAGTCATTGAACAAACTGGGTTTGAGTGTCAATAGTAAGACTTTATTTCAGGTATTCTCTTAAGTAATTTAAGACATCCTGTGTTGTCTAGTGTACCCCCTAATTCAGTGAACTGTTTCATTTGCTGGTATGTTCATGTAGATTTACCTTGGAAGTGTTTGCAGTAGGCTAAAACCAGTCCTGTAGCTAAGGAAAGAGAGATCAAAAACCTTTTCACTATTTTCATTAATTCCACTTTGCCACTATCAGCAAAGACAAAGACAATGAAATAGAATTTCTGGGGGTTTAGGTTGCTGCTCAGTGGAAAATTTTCATCAGTTTTGGTACATCTTTTTCTTGTAGTGGTGGTTTCCTCTGGCTGCCAGGCTGCAGGAATTTCTTTATTGTGGGGATATTGCCTATTCTTGCTTTAAAACTCTATAAAACAAAACCAAAACAGCACTGTCCTTAAGAACCATGGTAACTGTTAGACATTTAGATGTTATCCATGTAACATTAGGGGTTGATCCTGCAGAAGAATCTATATGCTTCATCCTATTATGCTTTTGTGGCTATAGTGACAGAAGGCAGCAATAACCATCAGTATTTGAGGCCGGCTAAAAGTACTTAGAATATTTGATTTTCACTTCTTTCCTCACCCTCCCACTTTCCCATATTTCTCAGCCTGTTTAAATCAGTGGTTCTGCTTTGATTCATTGTCCATTAAAACTGTCCATTCAATTACCTGCAAGAGAGGAAATTTGGCAAGTATATCAGGCTTGCACTCTTCTGCCATTAAAAGGGTTTCAAATAATTGCACATCTGCCCTGCTAAACCGGTTGCCAACAAGAAAGTCTTGTCCATGGTCTTTCAAAACCTAAAAACAGAGAACCAGAAGCAGATGCGATTTTTTTTTCTCTGTGTGACTTAATATGGTATCTTCAAAGCAAGGTCATTCACTGCATGGAGTTAGCCTTGAAAGAATGAAATGCAGTAAGAACATGTGTAGTATAAATGAATGATATGACCACACGGTCATCCTAGGCATAATTTATCAGTCCTTTCTTTTCTGCATGTCTTTCTGGCAGCTCAGTTGTACCCCTCTTGCCTTCACTTCTGTAGCTCATGTAATCAGTGCTGCTGTGTTGAAGGCTAAGCTTTATGGGATACAACCATCACTGCAAATACCTATACAAAATTTACAAGAGGCTTAAGTTCAGCCCAGGGCATAGTAAGAGTATCTTGGACTCTTTCAAATGATGGGCAGCTCCCTTCTCACCTGTTTCTTCTTCAATTTTGGGAATATTGCATTGGGAGCTCTCCACGTGAACCTGCGCCTCATGGTCTTGACATCCAGCTAATCCATCCTCCCTTTTGTTACAGAAGGAGCTGTAATGCTTTTACATAGCATGTATGGTGGAGGGGGTTCTGCACTTCAGGAGGAAACTTTATGTAAAAGCTGATGCTAAAAAAAAAAAAAAGTCTTTTGTCTGAAACAACATACAGACTGAAACATGGACATGGGGAGCTCAGTGTGTCCTGGGTTTTTGCCGCTCTGCATCTCTCCCAGATTTGTAGTGCCTTCTGTCCCCTCTGTAGTGTCCTGTCTCCATCCTCATCCCAGCTCCACCAAAACCATAAGCATTTATATTTAAGTGGTAATTTTTCTTCTGTTTTCCTCAGTAAAAATTGGTTGTTTAGATCCAGGATGGAGTTTCAGGAAAACAATATTAATTAAGCTACTACATCTTTGCCACGTACCTTCTCAAAGACTGGGAAATATCTGTTTGTGGCCTTGTCCACAATAGTAGCAAAATGTTGCTCCTTTTTATCTGCTGGTTGGAAAGCATGGGTCATGAGTAACTCGTTCAGATCTATTACTGCTTCCACATACATATCAATTCTGAAAGAAATAGATCCAGTTGGTCAAGTCAAACACAGTAGGTCTGAATAGCACGATAGCTACTGGCATAACCCCATTGAGATGTTGGGAACTCTCTGCCTCTTCTATCCAGCATGCATAGCTTGGAGCAGTTACCCCTAGAGTGCATTAGCTTCGGGAGGGGTCGGGGGGGAAAGTATGGGTGAAAGACAAGTGCAAAGTGCCTAACCAAAAACTAGAAAACTGTACCTCTTCCATTTTTCACTAGGGGTGATACTTCTCTGTATTAAGTTTTTTTGAACCTGAGTACAAAATGGACGTGTGTCATCCAAACTTGTGTTAAAAATCCCATCAGACATGGTAAGTTAAACAGTGGGTCTGTACACTTCCTAACAAATATCTTGACATGTGTTTACCAGTGCTAATTAACTTGAAGCATTTAAAAATGCTTCAGGTCAAACCATGTGCTCTAAGAGCCCTGTCCTTTAATAACCAGTTATTAATTCTAATTCTAATTCCTGGTTATTAGAGGGAGAAGTTTTTTGTTTCCATCAAAGACACTTCCCTGAATTTGATGTGGGGAAAATGCCTGCTGCTGACAGGAGAAAATGAAAAGCAGCATCAGTAAGACAGTCTGCCCTCTGCACTCCTGACTGCTTTCTTCTCATTGACCTTCGATCTTCATGGACTCCCTCGCACCATGCTGCCTATCTAATCTAGCTGGTTATTACTGTTGTAGACATCACCCGCAGTCACAGTCAACGCGTGCTACATGAAAAGTTGCTGTATCACCCTGAACCTGACTGTGAGCTGGGATATTCTTGTGTTGCACAGAGAGGTAGTATGAACTGTAGTCTAACAAAGGTGGTACTGTTACATTACAGGGCTCTCTCCTTCAGGTTGTTCCCGTAGAGGTTGTACTTCGTTGCTATGTAGTTGGCAATGGCTCTGCTCTGCACCATCTTCATTCCATCTATCTCCACCATTGGCACTTGCTGAAATAGCAGGGATCCATCTAGGGAAAAGGGGACAAGACAAGGAGACATTCAGTCTCTGAATGAGAACCATTAGTGGGTGTTTGGCAAAGTAACCACAGGTATTATTTTTTATCTAGAATCATAGAATCATTTAGGTTGGAAAAGACCCTTAATATTATCGAGTCCAACCATAAACTTAACGCTGCCAAGTCCACCACTAAACCATGTCCCTAAGCACCACATCTACACGTCTTTTAAATGCCTCCAAGGATGGTGACTCAACCACTTCCCTGGGCAGCCTGTTCCAATGCTTGACAACTCTTTCAGTGGCAGTCTTCCTCATTCTCACAACAAGGTATGGGAAACGCTTACCATGAAACCAAGAACCATTTCTTAGTGACATGTTAAAAACTTAATATTATGGCAATCAGCTTCCTGAAGTTTCTTCAAATCTGAAGAAGCATCCAAATGCAGAATTTTTAGCAGTCATACACTGAAAAAGACAAGCGCTGCGTTGCATGGCCCTAACTCGGATGATTTTCATGGAGGTTAATACAGATGAGAAGGACTGAAGGATCTGACCCAGCCAGTTTCTGTCATGCTTTGGTAAGTATTATGGAAATCTGGACTATTTATGGACTTGTCAACATATAATGTGAATATAAATGCATATAATATCTTTGTGACTACTGTATTGACTTTATACAATGGTGTACATCTGTACAGGCATGAAGCAGGGAATAATGGGTGGGTTTCATGAGATTCCTGCAAGACCCAAAAATCACTTGGTGTGAGACTACTGTAGCCGTGTAAATCCCTTGCTAGTCTGCAGAAGCCTTATTCTAGCAAGGAAGAAGTCAAAATACCTCCAGGAACCGATCAAAGAAGCGAGTATTTGCTTTATGGAATCATATTTCTTGACTCAGGTAACTGATCAGCTACATCCATCTAAGGCAATCATGCAGAGAAACTGTCTGCTATTAAGGGCACATTTTCATTTATGCTCGTGTCTCAAAATACTTTTTGAAAGCTGGCAGGTGGCAGGAGGATCAAGTCATTGTTCCTAAAGGAGAGTAGGACTGCAAATGCCAACCCTAGCTCAGACTTCTTTGAAAAGCCAAGTGAAGTGGAAGAGCACAGACATGTAATTTGTTTTGGAGGACCTGTGAATATCATGTTCACACAGATGGAAGCTAAAGATAGCAAGGTGAGTAGTTGCCTTGGGAAACAGGAACACATCAGAGGTACAGGTTAAACTCAGAAATCTGGAACTCTGGTTTCATACAGATTATAAAATAACAACTTTGTAGGCAACCTAAAATGGTAATGAATTTCAAGATGATCTGATGACAAATACCTATATTGTTGTAGAACAGGAGGCAATGAGAACAAAGGAGAGTCGACCATCTGAACTTAAGGAAAGGCTTTTTTACTGTGGGAGTGACTGAACACTGGCATGGGTTGCCCAGAGAGGCTGTGGAGTCTCCATCCTTGGAGATACTTAAAACCCAACTGGACACTGTCCTGGGAAACTGGCTGTAGGTGACCTCGCTTGAAAAGGGGAGGTGGAGCAGACAATCCCTTTTGACCTCAGCCTTTCTGTGATTCAGTGAAGACTGAAGCAACTGGGTGGATGATACCATCTAACACACTGCAGTGTGCATCTGTGATACCTCATGTACAATCCAGCCTAGATTTTCTTTTTAAGAGACATAAGACTTCTTAGGTGTTCTAAGACAATTCTAATTATTATTATCTATTAAAAAGTGAAGGAAACTTACCGTTCTGTAACTTTGTCAGATCATCCTTTGTTTCCAGGAAACATTCTTCAAACTGCAGAAAATACCAAAGAAAAGTTGTGTTGTCACTGCATGTTTTAGCTTCTGCTTTGCATGAGACAATGAGAGCACAAAGAGCTGTGTTTTGGGGAATTTTATTTTTAAAAAAATAAATCAGATTTGGAAGTGATATCTTTAAAAATTTATTTTGCTTCTGTCCCATCCTCTTCTCTTCCCTCTCATATGTGATTCATATTTTTGTGCAAGTAAGATTTTGGCTAAAGCTGAGGTGACCAAAAGGCAGAAAACCCTGTCTGCTGAGCAAACAGCCACCATGCTACTTCTTTTGTCGGTGCTGGCAAGAGATGGCGCAGGGAGAGAGGAGGATAGGTAATTTCACAGTGCAGCAGCAGAACTGTGGTATAGCTCCTTTGCCACAAGCTGGCAAAAGGAGGGACGAAGAGAAGAGATCATGTGCCCTGTGCAGCTTTCTGGTACATTGCCCATCAGCACGACAAAAACTCACAGGTCTTAAAACACATAGATCCCCACACTCCCTCTCCAGTTCAATATCAGAAACCATTAGAGGTAAAAACAATTACTCTGTGTTTTATAATATACAGTACCTTCAGGGGTAAGCTACATTGTAGTGGGAAAATAATTTTTTGCTATTTTGGACATTGGGATTTAACTGAAGGTCTTCAGAACTGAAAGTGCTTGACCCCTGTGATCAGAAGATAAGAAGCCAGGTTCTGCTGCTGTGGTTTAATATTTTTTCTTTCACTAGCTACAGGGGAGAGGCATTTGTGGTGCTACCAGTAGGCTACGCACATGATGCTTGGAAGTGAAACAGGAACTTGACCCCCTGCTTAGGGTAAGCTAGTGGTCATTGTTGGCTTGGTTAGCAATGCACTAAATGCAGAGCTTGAAACTGCTGGTCAGTCACTTTTTTTATAAGGAACAGTAAAAATACATATTTGTCACATGCTCTTAGTATAAAAAGCAGAGGCAAACCTCAACCCCAGCTGCTGCTAATAGCCACCGTATTGATTCCATTCGGCCTCGTCCATTGAAATAGTGCAGCTTGGGTTTCCCAGACATGTTTCCACGTGCCTGATTTCCTACTATCTGGAATAAAGAAGTAAGTTTTTCAAAATAAAGATTCAGAATGCTAGTTTTGAGTCTCTAACTGGTTCTCAAGCATTGTTCAAAGGTTGTCTTGTTTGAAACCAATGATTTATGGTCCAAGACTCTCATCAAATTAGTAGAGGAGGTAAAAGACTATGTTGAGAGACTGCATTGTATCATTTCGCCTTAAGATATCTTTCATATGTGCAGGATAGTTAAGCAGAACTCTGTACTGAGAGCAATTGGCCCATGTCAGAGAACAAGCAAATCAAAACCTATTTGCATCCCAAAGTGTTCTGCTCTGACCAAAAAGCAGGGTGTGTGAGATACACTGCTCTGTTTATTTTGGCATTATCTCAGGATACAGTTTACTGTTTAATCAGATACACAATATAAACTCAGCAATTGCTGTGCTTTCTCCAGCAGCCATTATGCTCCCTTATAAAGTGACAGGAAGGATTTTTTTTTTTCCCATTGTAAGCATTCAATGTCATTTACAACACTCCCTGCTCCTCTCATTTTTTTAGGCAAGCACCTGAAGACATGGAATTTAATTTCGTGTCTGGTAACATTAGATTTGCCTTTACTACAGACGGAGCCAAAGTGCAATACCTGCTTGGTCCAATTCCAACTCTGCTGGAATTTAAAGCAACAACAGTTTCTAGACAGACTGACATCCACCCCATTCAGAACCGGTGCGTGCACATCAGCAGCAAACCTGTAGACAGTGCCTAGTTTATACTAGCTTCACAGTTATTAACTCTGTGTCAACAATAAAGCTGAAGCATTAACAGCAGCAAAAAGAAAATGGCTAAAAACCCCGCATATTTCCCTTGTAAATAACATGTCATCTTGTCTACAATAGGAAGAAGGCAGTGAGAGGAAGCACTCCACACTTCTGAGATCTACATTTCTTTTTCTTAAATCTGTACACCTAGAAAGCGATTGATTAATAATTTAACATTTGATGCACATAAGTATGTTAGTAAATAAAGTACGTACAAGTATTTAATCCATAAAACCCATTCACTGACTTAGTTTCAAGTACACTAATTCCCTACGCATGTCCAAAATCCAAAAAGCTTACCTTGTACACAGTATGACTCACTCTAAGCTCTCAGTAGCTTTGCCTTGAGATTATATGGGTCTGTAGCCCCTCCTACAAAGAGAATTGCAAACATTTCTCTGCCAATGGAAAACTCATATTTCTTAAACAAATAATAACAATTAGGTCTGTTTAGTCACTTCTCACTTACAGAAAATAAATTCCTGACTAATGCTGACTATGTACAAATGTAAGATTCACAAGAGGTCATGATCATTGGGAACATCTGTGCCAGCAGAAAATTGTATGCTTCCTGTTTCATTGTTTGGCAACCTGCTAGTTAAAAATAATCTGAATGGCTGAAAAGCTCCCATGATTTTAAAAAATACTGTGATAGCAATCAAAATTTTATTTTAATATTTTATGTTTTTTTACTTCTAACAGATTGCAGCTTTACATCAGTCACATCAACTAATTCAGCTTGAATCCTTCATAAGTTTCCTTCCTTTCCTTAGTTATGGGGGATATTCCTTCAGGACATTTTTTCTGCTGAATTTCATTCCTGGATATAGAAGGTTTTTTTCTGTTTCTGTCAAAAATGTTTCCCTGAATTTGACCTTGTGAAAACGCACACCAAAGACAACTTTAGGAGACAGTGAATGAAGAGTGGCGTCAGAAGACAAACTGCCCTCTGCACTTCTGACTGCTTTCTTTTGATAACTCTGTTGACTTCAAAGAGTCAATACAGCATAAACGCCCATGCACCATCCTGCCTGTCTAATCTAGCTGGTTAATACTGTTGTAGACATCACCTGCGGGCAAGGTCAACATGCTATACAAAAATCTGCTGAATCACCCGGAACGTAACTGTGAGCCGGGATATTATTCTCGTATTACACAGGGAGGTTGTATGAACTGTAGCCTATCAAACAAAAAAATGAGTTGTTACAGTACAGGGGGCTCTCTCCTCCAGGTCCTTCCTGTAGACGTACTTGCTGCTATGTAGCTGAAAATGATCCTTATCCCATCAGTCTCCACCACTGGTGCCTGTTAGACCAATGTGTTCCATGCTTGACAATAAAATAAGCTTAATTATTTATTTAGAGCTAGAACCACAGAAGGACAAGGCATCAAAATGGTCACCACTGCAACGTCTTGTCTTTTAGGAGGTGCCTAGTCCCCAAATGGAACACTGTACCCTATATAGCCCGTGAGGAGAGCCAGGCTTCACAGAAGGGGACTCCTCACTGACAGCACATCCTATAGCCTCCACCTTCTGGTTCGGGCTCTTTTCTTTCTTATTTCCCTCTGTCGCCTTCTTACATTTTGGGAGGTTCTTCTCTCCAGCCTCTGAAAACCTGCAGCGGGGCTCAGTCACCTACGCAGAGGTGTCCACACCGCTGTGCATGTTCCAGGGCATCAGCTGGCCTCCAGCTGCTGCTCCAGAGAGCCCAGCTCTGCGGCATGTGCCATGACACGATGGCCCAGCCCTGCAGAAGTGTCATGGAGAGCCCCAGGTGTCTGTGCTAAGTGCAGCAGAAGCCCACTCTTGGTATCGCTGTGGAAGCACAAGCTGCCCACATTTCGTTTTCTCTTAACATCCAGCCCGAAATAATTTGTTCATATTTTATAACGAAACAGAACTCTGCATAAGAATGTTTTATTTTGCTTGCTTGTGAAGCGATGGCTTTCCCCTCTAGGCTTCTGGGAGTGCTGACTTTTGCTGTTAGCACAGGTTTTTTTAGGAGTAAAAGATCAAACTACACTGCTGGAAATAGTGTTTCTGGCATTGTTGGACAGATATGACTTACAACCCAAAATCGAGGATAATGTGGCAGATTGAGGGTAGGGAGGCTCTGCAGAGGGAC